CACAGCACCTATCTCCCCCTTTGCCTCCTCAAGGACATAGGAAGGTAACCATGCTAGTGCCCAAAAACACAGACAATATCTCATCTCAGAGCCACCCAAACACTATGTTTCTGCAGCAAATGTGCTAAAATGTTTTTCAACAACCAAGAATTATAATACAAAACAAAGAGTGACATTGTAGTGACTAGCCACCCCTGCAAAGCACGCATAGCTATCCTTTGAAAACCCTGGGCTCCTCTAAGCTGACAATTGTCATCCAATTTTTCTTAGAAGGATGTTTACAAGAACACATTTTCTTTGTATAAAATTTAAAGGGAAATAAAATCTCCTATACCAGCAAGAGTAAGAAGCAGTGAGATTAGTGAGCCCCATCACAAAGAGTATATCCATAGACTTCATAATTTTCTCTCACACATAACTAGTGTTTTCTTCAACTGGAGATTTTATGATTTCAGACCTATAGGGTGACTTTTATTCACTTAAATTCATAGATAGATATTATATTTAATAAAGTGGTATAAGTTCTCTTCTGAGAAATTGATAGTTTTATTTAAACTTTGCAGCCATCCCTTATCTGTGAATGTTCTTGGCTGAAAGTCCAACTTTCAGTGGTACATTTCAACACTGACTACAATTACTATCAGTCAAGAGTGTCCACATCCCTGGGAACTGGAGCTGTAGGTGTCTGTGAACCTACTGGTGTGGGCACTGGACACCAAACCAGGATGAGTCTTCTGCAAGAGCAGGAAGGGTTCTTAACTGCTGGGCCATCTCTCTGTCTGGGTGAAGATTTTTTTAAATTGGTTTGTTTTTAACACTTACTGCAAATACCAAACTTCCAGTTTTTATTTTTATAAGCATATCAGATGATTAGCATAGCTGCAACCTTGTTTCTAATTCCCAGTCTCATTTTAAATTAAACAACCCAATATTCCTTCTTCCCTTCTAAATGTTAAGGAAGTATTAAATGTTAAGAATACACTACATTCATAACATAAACAAATAAGTCTTGACTATGTTGTCCAATTCGCTCCTTGCTTGCTTAAATCCCCTTAGACTGACAATTCAACACAACTATCATTCCTGACAAAGTACATATCACCAAGTACAAACTTATGGGTTTAAAAATTGTTTTTGTCATAGGAAAATTTATCCTCCATCTTCAAACTGTATGTTCAGTCATATTTTACGACTTTGTTTTCAAAAGCTGTGGTTGGTAAAATTGATGAGCTACACTAGTAAACACAGCACGAACATCCTGCGACTTCAAGCAAAAGATTTGTCATTGCCAGAAAACTCAGTTCGGTGGGAGTGATGGCATGTGAGCATGCAGAGCCTTTGCCATCTGGTTTTGAGAAAGGAAAACATGAATGTATCAAGCAAATGCCTCCCTGGACTGCACATGGTCATTTAAAGTGTTTTCTGGACTGGGTCTCTGCTTTTCAAGATTTAATATAACAGCGGTTCTCTTTACTCAGAAACCAAGAGTTCTAACAAGCATGAAAAGCATAGAGTACTGAGACATAAGAGTAGTTTTTAATAAGGCTTCCAAACCTGAACAAGCATGTATATCACCCAAGCATGCACATGAAGGTATGATCACTCGGCTGACTCTAAACTGGGGCTTGGGATGCATCTTCGTAGATGGTACTGAGATTCCTGCTCCTGTTAAACAGAGCACTGTGTCTATGGTTGCTGTGCCATTTACGTCTTTAACACACATTTGAAATATACTCCCAAACCTAATTGTCAAATGAAACCAAGTAAGTAGTGAACATTTTGAAGCTGTTTATTCTCTTGCCCTAGAAATGATTTGGTGAAGACACACCAATCATATTTATTTCAGTGTCTCATTGTTACTAATTAGAGAAGAAAGTACATTCTCTTTAAATTTCAAGATCTCATTCCACCAACATATTCAGCTCTTTTGCTATTTAAAAATCATATTTCAATAAGAAACTTCAAGTAGTGACCTAATGAGCTGGTGATAAAACTAATCCCAGGCATCAGAGCTGTATTAAGGGTTGAATTAATATTTTGCCCATGTGTGAAAAAAATGGAGTAAGTGGCAATAAGTTAATAGATTCTGTCACTAGTGGAGCAAACTAACTGCTTTTTAAAAAACTAACCCTGAACTTTATTCTCACTTCCTACTTAATGGAGAAGGCATGCTCCATGTATTATTTGTAATAGAAAAATCAAGTGATTCTCTCTTGGCTTCATTCTCTCTATAATTTTAACTTTCTATATTTATCACATGCGCCAAATTTGAGTGAAAGCTTGACATGCAGTGTAATTACCCCAGATACTTATAGGATGTTTGGTGCGATGAGGCAGGTTCCATTACAGTTGTCATTACTTCAGTAAACCACTCTGATGTCTTTACAGTTATTTTCTGTTATAAAGGGAAGGAAACTGAAAATTAAGACATTGGTCCTATTTTAAACATTTCAGATGTTTCAGGGGCAAAGCATAAAACTACACCTATTGAATGCGATGGTCATGCAAGCATCCCCTTTGTAACTCTTACTTACTAGCTCTATAGGTGTCAGATGTAATTTTGGTGACACTAAGGATCCTTCTTAACAACCTCTGCCCACATTCCTCCAGGAGAAACTGAAACTGTAGCTTCTGGAATTTATCTTCCTCATCAATGTCCTTGCTCAAGTTAGGGAAGACAATCTAAATAATCTATTTGTCTCCTCTGTCACAGTGCTCTGATTGCCAGCTGCTGGAAGGTTGGTTTGTGTCTGCTCAGGAGTTATTATATCTTCATTGTCTTCAGCCACAGTTTGATCTTGTCTTTAGGATGAATCTGCTGTTATCTATCATCTACTTACCTGTTTATTAGTCTGTCTTTTTGTCATGTTGTGAGGAAACAGGCCACATGCATGAGAAATAAGGGCTCTACTCTTGAGCAGTAACTTGAGCTCAGTAAGAGTCTTTTAGATATATTCTCTCCTTCAAGGTACTTAGTATCAATTTCATTGCTTCCAGCCCAGGTGTACAGCTCCTCAGTCTCCTATTCTTTCACTTTGGTTTCCAGATGACCAGTGAGTCCTTTAGGTCTGCAGTCCCCTCAAAGTGTAATTCTTAGATACACTCCTTCTGTTTGGCAGACTTCTTCTAGCTTTATGACTTCTCTGGAAATGCTGCTCTTCCTCTCATCTCCAACTTACCTTGTATGTTCCTTGGAGCACAACCTCCTTTCAGTGTCTGTCATCCGCAGTTCCTTCATGTTGAAGCTTTCATTCCTTCAAATTTTTTCTAACAGTAAAGATTACTATAAAATAACAACAAAAATTACTACCATGTCCCTTTGTGGCTAACAATCCATCTCATGTGTAACCCTCTTCAGATTTATTTTACAGAAGAAGGTCTACTTTTCATAGCTTCACAATTTTATCTTGTATTTTCTCTGAAAACAAAATTCATTGATTTTACATTCTTCAAATCTCCAGTGATATCATATTACAGTTTAATGAACATTTACCATTTTCTGTTTCTTATAATTTGTCAACTCTTAGCATAATTAATACTCTCTGTCATCTGAAGTTGTCTCCCTTATTCTTGTCTAGAATCACATTTTACTTCATTTGCCACTGTCAAAGGTATAAAATAAAGATTACTTTTAATCTCAAAAAGTAAAGGAAATAATTAAATTTTTTTTAAATTGAAGAGATAGCAATATCCTGTGCTTTTTTTCTTCCCAGACTGAAAACACATAGTTTTGTTCATAGACTGCTGTTCTGAGATTTTTCCCAAATAACAGAAAAGGATTTAAAACACCACCCAGATCCCCTCATTGCTGAAGGCTGTTTGTTCCACCTGGAAAAACATATCCGGTGAACACTAACGAGAAAGAAGAAAGGTTCACCTTTGACAAAGTCATGCCTTCTTTACTCATGACCTTTCTGTATGCACAAGTCACCCTTATATCCAAGGCCAGACAACATCATGGTGACATTTCTAACTCTATCCCCAACCATTTGATACTGGGTTCCTTTGTCTGTTGATCATGAGTTATTTTCTGACTGTGAGAAAATCCAGTAAGGATGTAAAGATATTGTTTACGATTTTGAATGTACCTGGTCTATTCAAAAGTGGGAGAGGTAACTTTTAAGGATGAAATACTGTTTCTGGAGTTATAAATAATTTACTTGATATAACTTGTAAACCTCCTTGTTCCTGTTCAGGTTTTAGGTTTGTGAATCCCCTACCTCTTCATTCTTATATTTATAGTGAGAATAACAATGATGTGTACCTCAGTAGATTTTTCCTTACTTATCTAATTGATTCATTGAAAACACAACTGCAGAGAAACAAAGAAGAAACACTTCTTGCTTTGTAGGTGAGAGTCTGGTGCTCTCCAAGACACCTTGTATTTCTCAAGACTTTGAAGATTTTTTAAAGTTGTCTAATACAGTAGTTGAGTGGATTAAATGATAAATTGTACGATGTGTTCAGTATATAGAACTGTTTAATCATGTAATTAGGACAGTTACCATGAGCACAGTCTTGATTCAGTGCTATGATTTCATGTTTTGTTCTATTTACATTTCAAAAAAAAATTACATTAGTAATCTGTAGTGATGATGATGGGAAAAACATGATCTGAGAGTGGTTTATTTCTTTTGCTTTTTCCCTTTTTCTTTTTGCTATACCCTATCAATTCAATCTGTTGGGAGCAGATGCTGAACAGGCCTTGTGCATAGCCTGTTTGCTTGCCCTAAGTTGCCCTAAGGTGCCCTTTTGTCCTTCCTCTTTTCCTGTGGTCAGTAAGTCACAGGATGTTTACGATATAGCTATTGCTGGAACATTGTTTCAAGAATCAGCTCTCTGCTTGTGGTCTTCCTGTTTGGCTGAGCTGCTGGGACATGGATGGGAACCTGAGGACCGTACCCTGACCCCATGGAGAGTAGGAAGTAGCAGGGTATATAAGGCTGATGGATAGTCAATAAAAAGCTCTCTTTGAATAATGAACCATGGTGTGTCCTGAGTGCTGCTTAACCTCGACGTCCCTCGCCAGTTCTTGGTTCCAGGCCATGTGGGTTGCAACAGGTGGAGGTCCCACTGAGACTTGGAAAGAAGGGGTAAGCATATGAGGCTCACCTTCACAAAGGAAGGGGGAGGATTGGATGTAACAGAGTAAAATAGGGTACGTACCATGGGGGATTCCACAGCTAAGGCTCAGTTGGCCACTGAGTTGAGAGAGCTGTTGCAAAAACAAGGAACAGGTATTAAGTCTAGTACCATACTGACATTTGTGGACACTATAGCTGAAGCTAGACGGTGGTTTCTGACAGGAGGAGGGTTGAATATCCCTGATTGGGAACAGGTGAAACGTGATCTACAGAAGGCATTGAAGGATACGGGACCAGAGGAGTTTCCTATTGCAGCCTTTTCTCTTTGGAGGCTGGTAAAGGATGCGCTATTAACTGACAAGGTGAAAGTGAAGGAACAGTTAGCAGAATGTGAGCAGGCTTTCGCCACTGCCCAGGAAGCTGAAACTAATGAGTCTTTAAAAGGGGAAAAAGAGGAAGAGAAGGCTATGACACCCCGCAAGAAACTTGCAGTTCAGGATGATGAGAGTGACCTGGAGTCTATATATGAGTTGTTGGATGAGGAGGAGCAGTTAGAGAGAGAGGCCGAAGAATTACAACGGCGGCTGCAGAAAACGAAAGTAAAACATAAAGAGCCTTCGGCTCCGATCTGCTGTCGTCCGCCTCCTCATAATCCATACTGGTTGGATAGGGACAATCAGGGTGATAAGGAGGAAGGGAAATGGAGGGGAGTTATCTGGCAGGATACTGTGCAGGATTATCCCATTTCCGAAACTGTTAATGCTGCTGAACAAGCTGTCAGAAATCATGTACCGTTGACATTTAAAGAAATGAAACAATTAAAAGAAGCAGTGAGCAGTTATGGTCTGCAGGCTCCATTCACTGTGACACTTTTTGAGTCCTTTTCAGCTAGCTATTTAACACCTAGCGATTGGCAGCAATTATGCCATGCTGCCCTGTCTGGAGGAGATTATCTCTTGTGGAAAAGTGAGAATCACGAAAGATGCTTAGAGCTGGCACGCATTAATGCGAGGGCCGGTCAACCCCAGAGGAATTATGACATGCTGGCAGGCGCAGGGCAATATGCTGATATTCAACAGCAAATATTGTATGACCCTGCCACTTACACTCAAATAGCTAATGCAGCGGTCCGAGCCTGGAAATCTCTGCCAAACCTTGCTGCGGAAGAACAAATTTCAAAGGTCTTGCAAGGTCCTTTAGAACCCTATGCAGATTTTGTTTCATGGCTTTTGCAATTGGCAGGAAAGATCTTTGGAGATTCTGATCAGGCTGTGCCAGTAGTTAAACAGTTGGCATATGAGAATGCAAATAAGTATTGCAAAGAAGCATTAAGAGGGAGCAAAGGCAAGAGTTTGAATGACATGCTTCATGTCTGCAAAGACATAGATGGTAATCATATTACTGGACAAGTTTTAGCTGCTGCCATAAGACATGGCTTGCAAGGCATGAATGGTGAGGTGCTCGACCTAAAGGATGTTTCCAGTGCAGGCAGGAAGGCCATTTGAAACGTGATTGCCCACAAAACAATCCAAACCAGTCACCTGGAATATGTCCCAAATGTAAAAAGGGTCAGCACTGGAGTAGTGAATGTAGATCTAAATTTGACACACAGGGTAACCCACTACCTTCAGGAATCAGGGGACGGGCCCCGCTCCGGGCCCCAAAAGCCAGAGTGTACGAAGCTATGCAGACCCAAACAGTAATCCCAGGCAGTGGTCACCTCTGTTTCATTCTACAAAACAACCCCTTTCAATTGACCAACTCAGTCAAGGAACACCAGGAAGTGCAGGACTGGACCTCAGTTCCACCGCCAGAGCAATCTTAACCCCTCAAATGGGACCTCAAGCACTACCCACTGGAGTTTATGGCCCCTTACCAAAAGGATCTGTGGGACTGCTTTTGGGTAGAAGTAGTGCGTATATGAAGGGCATAAGGATTTTGCCTGGAGTGATAGATAATGACTATGAGGGAGAGATAAAAATCATGGCAGAGGCAACACAGGGGGGCTTAGTGATCCTGCAAGGGGAGCGTATAGCTCAGCTACTTCTGCTTCCTATTGTTTCTACAAAAAAATAGAAGTTTATGTGTAGCCCAGGGAAAGAGAGGTTTTGGGTCCACTGGTACTCCTCAAGCATTCTGGGTAGCCCACCTAGACTCTAGGCCTAAATTAGAATTAAAAATTCAAGGTAAATCTTTTATGGGGATTCTTGATACTGGGGCAGATGTATCCATTATAGCCAAAGAATATTGGCCTGCACGATGGCCTCTGGAGGATTCTACAGCAGTGTTACAGGGCATAGGACAGACCAGACCACAGAAAAGTGCCTGCATATTGAAGTGGAGTGATCAGGAGGGGCATGAATGACATTTTCAACCTTATTTTGTATTAGGTTTACCTACTAACCTGTGGGGAAGAGATGTGTTAGAAACCATGGGAGCGGTTCTCACTACTCAAGCTCTAAAGGGAGAAAATCCATTCGTTAATAACATAATGATGGATATGGGATGGACACCAGGAAAAGGGCTGGGAAAGGCAGAGCAGGGTTGTGTTGCTGCTCTTACTGCCACCGATGAGGTCACCAGCCTACCTGGAGATCAGAGAGGCTTAGGGCATTTTTAGTATGGGTCACTGGTGTTCGGCCTTCTCCCACACCTATTACTTGGTTATCTGATGAGCCTGTGTGGGTAGATCAGTGGCCCTTACCACCAGAAAATTGAGGGCGGCCCATGAGTTAGTGCAGGAACGATTGTTGGCAGGGCATATTGTCCCTTCCATGTCCCCCTGGAATACTCCTATTTTTGTTATCAAGAAAAGGTCTGGAAAATGGAGACTTTTACAAGATTTACGTGCAGTAAATGCCACTATGCAGTTAACGGGGGCTCTTCAGCCAGGCCTTCCCAGCCCAGTTGCTACTCCCAAAGATTGGCATATGATAGTGCTAGATTTGAAAGATTGCTTTTTTACTATTCCTTTGGCTCGGCGAGATTGCCAGTGTTTTGCATTTTCTGTTCCTTCTATTAATTATAAAGAACCATATAAGCAGTATCATTGGGTTGTTTTACCTCAAGGAATGGCTAATAGCCCCACTATGTGTCAAATGTATGTTGCAGAAGCCATACAACCCATTAGAGCAAAGTTTCCATATGTATATATTACACATTATATGGATGACATATTATTGGCAGCATCCACCCAAGACTGTGTATTACAAGTTTATGCAGACTTGCAGCAAGCACTTGCAGCTGCAGGATTAGTGATTGCCCCAGAAAAGGTACAAAATATGGCTCCTTATCAATATTTGGGATATACTATAAATTCTGTAGGGGTATTTCCACAGAAATTATAATTTCATATTGCAGAATTAAAGACATTGCATCATTGGCAGAGGTTTTTAGGGGAAATTCAATGGCTCCGCCCCTCATTCCAAATACTCACTGGAGAACTTAAGATGTTTTAAAAGGAGATTCTTCTCCGACTTCCTTAAGGACCCTATCAGCAGAAGCCAAGGCCACTTAAGGAAAGGTAGAACAAGCACTACAAGAACTCCAAGTGCAACAAATAGATTATACCAAGCCCTTATTATTGCTAATTCTTCCCTCTGAATTTTGACCTACAGGAGTATTTTGGCAAACAGGGCTCATATTTTGGGTGCATTTATCTGCATCCCCATCTAAAACTTTGAATGCATATTATGAATTAGTAATTTAGCTCATATGGAAAGCTAAATATATGGGGGAATCCTTGTTTGGAAAGTCTCCTGAGTGCTTTGTACTCCCTTAGACACAAGAAATGTTAACTTTTCTTGTGTACTTTCACAGGCTATATAGATAATCTTTATCCAAAACATAAACTTATAGAAAGCTTTAAAGTGTGTAGTTTTATTTTTCCCCATATTGTAAAACAGGAACCTATTAAGGGTTTTTGTTTAATTTTTACTGATGCATCTAAAGGAGGTTTTGCTGTGGTCATCAATGGAGATGAGGTAACGTGGATGACAATGGCCTCCATGACTACATAACAAGCTAAGATTACAGCTTTACAATTGGCTTTGCAAGTTTACTCTTTAGAACCTATAAATGTCTATACTGATAGTTGCTATGTGGCCAAAATGATGCATAGTATGGAAACCACTCCATACACTGGAAAACAGTCCACAGTACATTCTCAATTACAGCACCATTCAAAGGTTAATTTGGACTAGAAAACATCCTCTGTTTGTGGGCCATATACGAGGGCACTCTGGTCTTCCAGCGGTGCTTGCAGAAGGCAATGCCACTGCAGATGTAGCTATTCATTTCACTTGTGTAGTCACCACCTTTGATCAGGCATTTCAATTACATCAGAAATTCCACCTCAATGTGCAAACTTTACAGCATCGTACTGGCTATACTCACACTGAGGCCTTAAAAATTGTATCTACTTGTGCCACTTGTGCTCCTTTTATTCATGTACCATCATCAGGTGTTAATCCTCGTGACCTACGTCCCAACCATATCTGGCAAATGGAAGTCACGCATATTTGAAGTTTTGGAACTTTATCATATGTACATGTGTCTGTGGACACGTATTCTCATTATATAGTAGCCACTCTTCACAAGGGGGAGCGTGCACAAGATGTAATTAAACATCTTTTGGCTGCTTTCTCTTGTATGAGAGTTCCACAGCGTATTAAAACAGATAATGGACCAGCTTATGCCAGCCAAAGTTTTCAGAAATTTTGTTCACAATGGAATATAATTCATAAAACTGGCATTCCCTATAACCCTCAAGAACAAGTGATAATTGAACGAGTGCATAAACATTTAAAGACTTATTTGCAAAAAAAAAAAAACAAAAGAAGGTGAGATGTACAGGGATGTACAGGGACCCCAATTACTCCTTTCCATTATTTTATTTATTTTAAATTTTTTACTTGTGGATGTTCATGGGCGTACTGCAGCTCAATGGCATTTTTCGGTCCCCTCTCCCTCTGAGGTTCTGGTCAGGTGGAAGGATCTTTCCACGGGCACATGGCAGTCCCCAGCACCGCTATTGGCTAGGGTAAGGGGAGCAGTTTGTGTGTACCCTCCAGGTGCTGAGAAACTAATCTGGATACCAGAACAGTGTGTTTGACCTGTGGAACAGACACAGAAATAACATGAAGAACCTCATGATTCCGATGGTGCTGATGGTCCTTAGCCCTTGGGTCTACACAGAGTCTTCATGGAGCCTGGTTAAGAATCCTCCAGTTTTGTTGCCAGTAAGTATTGAAAGCTCTGTGTTTCCTGCTGTCTTTGCCTCTAATTGGACTATTGGAACTGCAGCTAGTAATGTTAAACATGATGTGCAAAGCATAAATGTCACCATGAATTTACATAATTCCCTATGCTTTGCTTGAAATGTTATTGTAGGATTCAATAACACCAAATTTTTTCTTTATTCTCTGGAATGGCTCAGGTGTGGGAGGGGAGGAGTTAAATTGTTCAACTTTGAATTGCAGCCTAAGTATTAATTGCTGGAGTCCTAATGTCACACATGCTGTGGTGGTGAGAATTCCTGCCTTTGTCATGATGCCGCTGGAATAGAATGCAGCAGAATTTCCTTTGCAACTCCATCACAGCATAACTGCTGCTGTAATTGCTGCCATTGCAACTTCAGCTGTTGCAGCCACTGCAGCTTGATTGGCTATTTCCCAGGGAGTGCAACAGGCTACTACTATTAATGCCCTCTTGGAAAGAGTGGCTGGTGCTTTGGACATCCAACAGACTTTAAATGGACAATTAGACAACATATGTTATGTGCCTATGGGTTTTCTGAAATATGTGTAACCCCTCATATTGTTGTGAATGTATCTGCTAAGGTTAAAGAATTGAATGATTACTTGAGAGGGCCATGGAATGCAACTTTTGTAAATTTTACTTTACAATTAGTTCGTGCCATTGTTCATATTAATGAAACTGGAGTCACTCCTATTGATGAAAATGTTTGTTGGCAAGCTATGTCAAAAATTGCTGAATGGGTTACTAGAAGGTCAGGGTCCATTTCCCTACTTATCCTGTGTATACTGGATCTTGGGCTCAGATTCTTCATGGTGTACCGATGGCGTCTCCAGTTTAGTCGAGGCCAATGGGCAACCAAGCAAGCTTTATTAGCTATGCAGCCCCCTGAATCTGCTCAGGTATGGTTACATATGTTGGAATGATAGTACCCAAAGACAGGCAACTCCGGTGCCATGCTGACGACCTAAGACAGGGGATAGAAGGGCCTCCCCGAGGACGGGTAAGTCAGACAGGGTGCTACAGGTGTCCTAAGACAGGGGCTATCTGTGTGCTTTAAAAAAAAAGGAGAGGACATGTTGGGAGCAGACGCTGAACAGGCCTTGTGCATAGCCTGTTTGTTTGCCCTAAGTTGCCCTAAGGTGCCCTTTTGTCCTTCCTCTTTTCCTGTGGTCAGTAAGTCACAGGATGTTTACGATATAGCTATTGCTGGAACATTGTTTCAAGAATCAGCTCTCTGCTTGTGGTCTTCCTGTTTGGCTGAGCTGCTGGGACGTGGATGGGAACCTGAGGACTGTACCCTGACCCCATGGAGCATAGGAAGTAGCAGGGTATATAAGGCTGATGGATAGTCAATAAAGAGCTCTCTTTGAATGATGAACCACAGTGTGTCCTGAGTGCTGCTTAACCTCGACATCCCTTGCCAGTTCTTGGTTCCAGGCCGTGCGGGTTGCAGCACAATCCATTGCCCTCCCATGTGTCTGTGGTTTTCTCTTATTGATACTCCTTATTGTTCTTTTCAGATGTTATTTCTTAATAATCCCTACACTGTTAATACTCAGTCATATTTTTTATGAATTTCATGTCAAATAACCCAAATTGCAATAAATAAACAAATAATCAGAATGAATCAACCAGGACTTATGTCCAATCCCCTTTCTACTTGTTTATGTGGCCTATGGACTACTGCTCTGCTTTCTTGTAGAAATCAACATTTGTGCTACTTCACTAATCAGAGGGCAGTGTTTTTAAAAGGGACCTTTTAACACAATCATAGTCACAATGACACAATGATAGCTAGTTGAGAAAAAGTAAACCTACCATAAATAAATGTCTTTTGAGAATTGATTGGATACTTTACTTTTACAAACTTAAGATGAGAAAAACAATATTGTAAGAAAAGAAATATTGAAAGAAGACATTTCTTTTCTTTAGTGCATCATGGCTACACAAAAATGTCATGTTATTTGTGCAGAAGTCAACAGTCAGGAAGAATTCCCTCCCTTGGTGGGAAAGCTGTTGAGCTCTTTATGGTGACAAAATGAAATAAAGCATTTACATCTCCAGTGTCTCTGAATCATGCTTTATGGCATTGTGTGGGATGGAGTGAGTGACACTTTGCATGATTCTATCCCATGTATTTTCTTTCCAAAATTATGTAAACATGAATATTCATAGAGTATATGTGAAAATAATTGACATTTAAATGCTATAAATGTCTTAAAACCCATAAATACAGTAAATGTTATTTTATGTAGGGCGGTATTTTCCTAGGTGGTTCTGTAGTTATTTAAAGAACTGTTCTCTGTTTAATTCAAAACTATATCAATATCTTGATTCCCAGTACATCATAATCCCCCTGATATTTGTCTGACATTTAGATTGTACAGAATGCTTCTACTCTTTAACTCATCACACTTTCACACTGTACTTCTGAGAGTCTGTCCCATGTGATGCTGCTCTGGTGTGGCTCTCTGTAGGTGGAGTTTTCCATCTAGACCACTGATCAGCTCTGTCCTGACAGCTGCTTCCCAAATAACCACACAGCGAGTAATTAATTATAAATGCTTGGCTGGTAGCTTAGGCTTGTCTCCAGCCAGCTCTTACAATTTAAATTAACATATATATATATATATATATATATATATATATATATATATATATATATATATATATTACCCAGAGGCTCATTTACTTCATCTATTAACTTCCCATGTTGCTTCTTACATGTCTGGCTCACAACTCCTCTGACTTCCCAGGGTTCTCTCTGCCCCTAAAATCCCACCTAGCTATCAGACAATTAAGCTTTTTACTAACAACAAGAGGGACATATCTTCACAGTGTACAAATGAATATTTCACAGCAGTTCTCCAAGTTAATTTCCATGGATTTTTGAGGGCATGTCAGTTATTTCTTTAGAAAATATACTGAGCAAATATAATGGTTTTCATTCATTGTCTATATATTTTCTTTATTAACAAAGTGTTGAATCTTCAGTTGTTGCCACTAAACCCAATACTCAAGTGTAGGAAGCACTGCTCAAGACACACACTGAGAGACCCACATTTGACCTTACTCATGTCATTCCCACCTTGCGAGACCCAAATTTGACCTCATCTGTGTCATTCTCACCTTGAGAGACCCATATTTTAGCTTATTCATGTGTCATTCCCACCTTGAGAGACCCACATTTTAGCTTACTCATGTGTTGTTCCCTTTTATTTATTTTTCACTATCTTTTTATTTTTATTTTTGCTAAATGTTATATTTCTTCTCCTTGATACTTTACAACCGTAAGCTCACTAATTCATTATGACCCTTCCAAACATTATGTGTCTAGAGGACATATAGTTCCTTATGATGCTATTAGCATAATTATCATTCTCAAAAAGTACCATGCATACAGCCCATGTGAAATATTGGGATAACTCTCTAGGTAAACATTCCAAGCATATCTACAGAATATAGATGAGTATGTGATTAAAAGGATAGCTTTAATATATTTTTAAGTAAGATGACATCACAAACATAAATCACAAACGAGTCTTAATTAGAAAAGCCTCCTGTCCTTCACTGTGAAGGTGCTAGAAGGTCCTGAGAGTCAAAGGAAATAATCTCTAGAACCGTACTCAAATATACTGCTGCTATGAGGCTACCAAAGGTCCCTGTGCTTCTTTCCAGATTTTCCAGACCTACAGACCATAAACCTTCTCTTTTAGGCCAATGAAAAGTCACTGGGCCCATAATTAGTCACAATCAGATGATATTTTATGATTGTGGATCACCAGTGTATAAATGTAAAAAGAACTTTATTAAGTTTTGTTATATAATCACATATTTTAAGTGTCTCTTTCTCATAAATTGGCAATAAAATTATCCAGTGAGAACAGAGGAGAATAATGTGTTTGCATTCTCACTAAGAATGGCATAAGATATTGAGCTCTTTCATTTTATTTAAACTTTAAAGTTAGGTTCATATGTAAGAATACTTAAATAAAGTTGGATTCATGAATCTGGATAGGTTTAAAGACAACTGTTATGATGCACATAAAAATTCAAACACATTAATGTGCACAATTAAATGCTTATAACACAGGAGGATAACCACCATTCAATTGCTATTATATCTTAGATTGTAGCCTAAAATTTTAAATGAAAGACTCACATTTCAATCATAACCAACTTTGATTGGTCAAACATTGCTAATTAACTTTTCTAATTTTAATGATATTTTAAATACTTTCTCCAATAATTTGACTTAAACCATTAGTTATTCTAATTTAGACAGTCCTGCAAAATCTGTAGACTGTCAATAGGAAATTTATCTTGAGGCCATACAGTACTGTTCATATTTCTAACTGGGAACAGTTTGACATGAATTAACCAGATAGTTATGGGTTTTGTATAAAACAGTATTTCCAATTTTTAACATTTTTATAGAATGTGCCCTATTATGTAAGCCTAGCTTGTGGTACAGGTTTTCTTCTAAATCAGTAAAAGCATATTTCCACTAAGAAAGAGTGAATACACACACCTGAGTTTTTCCAGATGAGATGTAAATAGGTAAGGTCTTTCTATGTAATCCCATGTTCTTGGCCAGGTAGATGTTCTATGAAAGACTCAAATCATGGTATTTTTCTTTTTAAACATTTATTTTAGTTTAAAGAATTATATACATGGGTACCATGTTTACATAATTACACTCCTTCCTCTCCCCCATTTATACCTCACTCCCTCTAGCTACCCTCATCCCCCATACTCCCTCTCAGATTCACAACCTCTTATAGATTTTTATATATACACATGTCATTATGTGATATATTTAATGTATATGTAATATATGTAGCATATAAACAAGTACATATACACATACATGTACATTTACATATATATGTAAATTAACATGTATATATGTTAATACAACTGAATGAGTCCATTTACTGTCACTCATATGTTTGGGTTTAGGGCTGACTACTTGGAGTTGGAATAACTGTCAGAGATCTGGTCACTAGAGAATCCTGAGTCAACTTTTCTAAGCAGATATTAATTGCCTAAAGCTCTTCTTTCATTCAATCAGGGTAATACATACTTGTATAATGGAAACATAAAACATATGTATATATGTAATATTTTCAGAAGACCAAATTAGAAGAATGTAAACTATAAATGAATTAGATTTGATTGTGGGTGTCTGAGCACACTATTGATGAATCACTGACACTCAGATACATAACTGGGACTGACATAATTCGTGTATTATGCATTCTATACAATCTAGCTTTCATGTCACTAATATTAAGTATAACTGTAAGTAAATTTGCTGCAACTCTGTGGGTTTGGCCCTGGGTTTTGGCACCAAAATGTGTGCTTTGCAACTCTGGGGAAAGGTATCCTGACTACTTGGGTTGCTTAAGACAGCTCTGATAGCTGGAGCTGAAAAAGAGACAGCTCAGCCCTGGAGGGCGAGGTATCCCAGACACCTTGAGCTGCTCAGGACAGCTCAGCCCTGAAGGTGTCCTGGACACCTGGAGCTGCTCGAACAGCTCTGACAGCTGGAGCTGCAGAGACAGCTCAACCCTGGAAGGGAAGTTTTTCTGACTGCTCGGGTATGTCAGGCCTGAAACTGCCTCAGCAGGGAAGGGTATCCTGACTGTTTGGGAGAGTCAGGTTATACCTGGTGTGATGGGGGATGATCTCCCTGCAGGATATAACAATCCTGCTCCTCTCCTGGAGAGCTGCTACAGCTGGGTTTTACTCAGCCCCTACTTAAAGGGGCTTCCTAGTAGAGCTCTGCTTCCCCAGCCTAAGATGTTGCTTCTTTTGCTTCACTCTGCAAAAGGCAAAACCCCTGCAGAAATGTAGCAATCTCCTCCAGCTCCAAAGAAAAGTGTTACTTTTTCAGCTCTCCCTTGCTCCATCCACTGAGGGACATCTCAGCAAGGATCTTCTGTTTAGCTCCTCTTTGCTCTTTCCACTGAGGGACGTCTCAGCAAGAATCTTTTCTACACCAGTGAATGAAGATATTCACACCCAAAACTCTTTTGAGAAAGATTTATTTGGGAAGGAGGAGTCCAGGAAAGTAGCTGCCTCTCTACCAGGGTGGAGAGAACAGCTCACAACAGACTAGATAGGGTGGTTTACAAAGGATGTCTTGGGGATGGAGTCTCTCAGGGGTTGATTTGGGGCCCAGAGTTCTACTGTCCTGCTTTGTGATTGGTTGGTTTCACAAATCAGTTGGCCAGGGGCAGAGATGGCTCTGATCTGAGCCAAACTGTATTTCTTTCACAGGCCTTACTTAGCTTTTTGACACTAATTCTAAGGCCAGGTCACATTTCTTTTACTGACTGTGATTCTAGAGACCAGGTGTGTTTCTTTGGTACTAGTTTCATGGGTTTGGGGATAAAGTATTCATTTCTCTGGCTCAGGTCCCAAACCCAGGCTGTATTTCTTTTCCTGGTCCTCAGCCCCAGGGCCAGAGTTCTACTGTCCTGCTCTGTGATTGGTTGATTTTATAAGTCTGTTGGTCAGGGGCAGAGATGGCTCTGATTTGAACCAAACTGTGTTTCCTTCACTGGCCTTATCTGAGCCATCTTTCCCTAGTTCTGGGCTCCAGAGTCAGGGTGGGTTTCTAAAGACTATTGTCTAATGATTCAGTCTTCCCCTATTTTATGTTATGTCCAACCTGCTGTTATCTTATTGTGGTGATTATCATGAAGTCCAAAACTGGTAGAAAAAATGTGCTAGATGCAATCAGCAAAAAGTGTCTTAATGTGCAGAGCAGTACTGTCTTACAGCTGATGGAGCAGGACCCCCAGGCTGAAAATATCCTTTTCTTAGTCATGCATGTCCAAGGCTAAAGTTCTCATTTCAGTCCAAATCATCACCCTGTGAAGGATTATGGCACAATCCAAACCTTAACAGTATTCTAGATGTAGTTGCTTTTAGTTGTAAATATGCAAGACAAAAACTAAAACAAGTTTTCATTAGGAGACTAAAAGACCTGACCTCAAGACTGGGGTGTATATTGTGCATGCTAGTTCCACATAGAAGTGATGAAAGTGATGAAGTGTGTGTGTGTGTGTGTGTGTGTGTGTGTGTGTGTGTGTGTGTGTTGGTGTGATATGCAAGACCTCCTAAGGCACATGGCTCACTACTAGAGCATCTCTGAACCAATCAAGGAATGCCAGTGATTGTGTTTAATCCCAAGTTCAGTGACTGATCTTAATAGTTTGGCTCTCATGTTTGGTGCACTACTATCTCTCTGAATTCTTCCTTTGAAACTTTGGTTAGCATTATGATCTTAAATTGGGAGAAGTGACAAACTACAAATCCCCATTTATTCATGCAAAATTAACAGATTTTCCTTTTGTTCAAAGCTTTCCAACTTTAAACTTACTTCCTTTCACCTCATCCCAGATGCCCTAAAGTCCAGCAAGCTGTGGGGATTCATCATCCAGAGTCCAAAGGGGAAAAGTCCACTAAGAAGAAAGCCAAGTGTCTCTTAATGTGAGGTGATGGGACAATGAAGATGAAAGTTGGAAGGTTTAGGAGGTAATTTGCATGCATGGAAATCCTTAAAATTAACAGAATTTTGGCTATAATTACAGGACTTCAAAAGAAGGAAGATATTGGCAGGTAGGGAGGTGCCAGAGGAGCTAGGCGAGGACAAAGAATAAGATGAAAATAAAGTATATGAAAAATGTTATAATAATAAAAGAAGAAAGGTAAACAAGGCAGAAGAGCAAGTTTGGGAGAAGACAACTGTGATCTGTGGTTCTATGTAGGCTCTCCAGGATGAGCGATTGGACTCAGAAAACTGAGGGGTATATTGAGCATAAAGGGTTTATTCAGAAGAATTGGGCAATTTGTGGATCGAGCATTTATACCCATTTTCATGGTACCTATAATGACATGTAAATACATAACTTATGAAATTTTGTTTTAATATATGTAAATAAATAGAATTTTCCCATGATATTCTATACCAAATCATCTCATATTTCATGAAAAGATGTTGTTTAAACTAGAAACACCTAGAAACCCTTTTATAATACTGGATTTATAATGACATCGTTTCAAATGAGCTGAAGAATCAATAATGCCAGTTTTCCATATTGTACTTCATTAACTTTAAAATATTAATTTTTTACTTTTAGATTCATTTATGTGTATGTGTGTGTCCATACAGGTGTCTGCAAAATCTGCACTAGAGCCCACAGAGACTAGAAGTGGGTGTCAGATCCTCTGGAGCTGAAGTTACAGGTGGATGTGAGCTAGCTGCTGTAGGGAATCGAACTCAGTTCCATTAGAAAAGCAGCAAGCACTCATGTGGATTAACGACTTCAATCTCTATTAACTTTCATTTTGTATTTTCTTACATCTTCAAAAACATCATAAATTGTAAATGGAAAAATTCAGCATATCAAAGTAAATCCAAAAACGTAAAAAGTACAACAAAACCCACTATGGAACTTTGAATGACAATTTAGCCATGTTTTCCTGCTGGTCTATAATATATTATTGCTGACATTGCCTAGTGTACTATCATAGGGGTAATTAAGTCATCCATATTCACAGTAATGGAAAGCAACTTAATTATTAGAAGTAGACTCTAGGGATCCCACTTACTTTTGTTTTTTAAATTATATTAGTTCTCTGAGAGTTTCATACAGTGCATTTTAATGATATTCACCTTATAATTCTTGGCCATTTTATCTCCTTTATTACCCTGCCAATTTTGTATTCTATTATTTTTTAATCTTTAAGACCAATCTCTCATCCCCAAATAATCATGGACATGTGATCTTCCACTGGAGAGTGCTTGGCTTACCAGGTTACCAGGGATTATGAAAACCTGCTCTCACTGTCCCGGCAGGTAAAATTTTCCAGTAGCTCTTTGGCAAAGGGTGGGGTTCTGTGTCCCTCTCCTCTTTATGTGCTTGGAGTTGGTCTTGCTTGGGCTTGCTCAGGTGCTATGCATGCTGTCATGAACTCACACGTGCAGCTTCCCTGTTATGTTCACATAATAATATTTAATAATATTTCCTTGTAGAAATCCACTGCCTTGGGCTCTGACTCTCCATTTGCCCCTCTTATCCAATGGTCCTCGAGCCTTGGGGTGGCATGTGGTATATGTGTTCTGTTTAGGATGGAGAATTCTGTAGTCCCTTGTTCTGTGTACTTGGCTCAGTTTTGGGTTATTGTGTAATTTACCACCTACTATAGATGTGGCTTCTTAGCTGAGGGATGAGAGATGCATTGATCTTTGGAAATAACAATAAGTCATTAGAAGTCAGTTTTATACTATGTCCTTTTAGCAGCATAGTATAGCAGCATAGTAGGTTCTCCCCTAGACATCATTACTATGTAGCCATAGGCTTTTAGCTTGATAATGGTGCCAGGCATTTGGTGAGGGGGGACTTAAATTCTATCGGAAAATTGGTTATGTAGACTTTTAGGGATTTTTAATTCGTGAACTTGAAGCATGTTCTAGTTCCATCTTGTAGGAGTATTATGGTTTTTTTTTTATCAAATTTCTGCAGATGTCTGGTTCCCAGGATCTTAGTGGGTCTTGGATAACTGCTTTTCCATCATTTTGCAAAACTTGTTCTTCAGCAAAAGTGAAATGAGCTGCTTCAGAGAACAGAATGGCAGGGCTTCCATCCAAGTCTACTTCACAGTATCTGCTCCTAATGGTTTCCTATAGTGTAAAGACACAACAAATGTTAGCATACACCCTAGTGCTACTCCCTTCTATATTTTGAGAGAGGGAAGGAATCCATAATGTGCACATTTAATTTAATGAAAAGCATGTTGAAGTCAAATCTCTGCGTGTCTGCTTGAGTCTTATTCATATCCTTCTGAACTATTTGTTCTTTCTGACTTAATAGAATGTCTTTTGGTAATCTGTTTTATGAGCCATTAACAAAGACTCAAACTGGGATGACTAATTAAATTGGTGCCTGCCTACTCCTTCTCCTCTTTATCTTCACAAGTGATTTCAACCAGGAGAGATTTTACTGATTTGAGATGATTACCTACATTTTTGTTATATACATCCTCCCCCCATTTTCTTGGCCAGTGGATTTTCCAGTAGAGAGTTTTTCTCACAAAGGGACAGGTGCAGATATCTGTAGACCATTTTGATGGTCAAACCAAATGTGGTTGTGATAAACATGCAGTAAACTAGAGGTAAGATACATTGCTTGGCATCCTGCACTATATAATATGAACTCACCATCAACATACACATAAATCTTACTGAGCCTGAGATGGTACAGTGCCAGCTTTTGAGGAAACCTATATTTTCCATTTACACTGGAAGTATATTCCTTGATTTTCAAGCAATGGTTCACCATTGCTTATTCTGTTATAGTAGCCATTTTTTATTCTGTTGTTGAAATTTTTATTCATTTACACTTTATTTTTATCTTAATTCTTCTCTCATACATTACATCCCAACTGCAGTTTCCCATCATTCAATTCCCCCATCCCTCTCACATCTCCCTCTCTTCCCTGGATTCATTCCTCCTTTTCCCTTAAAAAAGAGTGGGCCTCCCGGGGATATCCACCTATCATGTACTAACAGGATAAGAGTAAGACTAGGCAAAAGTCCTCATAAAAATGTTGAAGCAGCAACCCAGTAGGAGGAAAAGGGTCCCAAGTGCAGGCAAAAGAGTCAGAGACACTCTCCACTCACACTGTTAGGACTCCCACAAGAATACCAAGCTACACAACCATAACATATATGCAGAGGACTGAGTTCAGACCCATACAGGATCCATGCTTGTTGTTTCAGTCTCAGTGGGCCCTTATGAACCCTGCTTAGTTTATTCTGTGTGCCATGTTCTTGTGGTTTCCTTGACCCTTCTGGTCCCTATATTAATTCCTTCCCCTCTTCTGCAAGATTGCTCTGGCTTCACCCAGTGTTTGGCTGTGTGTCTCTGCATCAGCTTCTATTGCTGCTGAATGACACATCTTGAATGGCAATTAAGTTAGACCCTGATCTATGATTATAGCACAAATCATTGTGAATCATTTTATTGACTGACTTTTTTTTTGTCTGTCATGTTTTGTTCTACCCCGAGTCTCTGGAATGTCCTGCCTCTGGTTCCTGGCCATCTAGAAAGTATCAGGAGTGGGACCCCTCTTGGAGCATAGACTTCAAGTTAGACCAGGTATTGGTAGCCCACTCTCACAAGTTCTGAACCACCATTGCCCCCAGCATATTTTGCAAGCAGAACAGGTTCTAGGTCAAAGGGTTTTGTGGCTGTGTTGGTGTCCCAATGCCACCACCAGCATCCTTACCTGGTCACAGAAGATGGTTAGTTCTGATTTTGTATCCTCCATTACTGACAGTTCTCACTAGTGTCATTCTCATAGATTCCAGTAAGTTTCCACTGCCATAGGTTTCCACATTGCCTTCCTGATGCTCCCAAATTCCAGTTGTTTCTTCCTGTACTCTCCCAACATCACTTCCTCTTCAACCTGATTCCTGTTCCCATTCCCAACTGAGCCTGGTCTAACCACAAAACCTGTTTTATTTCTCATTCTCAGGGAGATCCACGAGTCCCCCTTGAGCTCTCCTTGTTACTTAGCCTCTCTGGGTCTATGAATTGTAGCAAGAATTTCCTTCACTTAATAGCTAATATCCACTTATAAGTGAGTACATGTTTGTCTTTCTGGGTCTGAATTACCTCACTTAGAATGATTTTTTTCTAGATCCAATAATTTGCCTATAAATTTTCTGGTGTCATTGTTTTTAATAGCTGAATAATACTTTATTGTGTAAATGTACCACATTTTCTTTATTCATTCTTGTTTGAGGGACATTCTAGGTTGTTTCCAGGTTCTGGCCATTACAAATAAAGCTGTTATGGATATAACTGAGCAAGTGTCCTTGTGGTATGAGTGGGCATCCTTTGCATATATGCCCAAGAGTGGGACAGCAGGGTCTTGAGGTAGAAGATTCTAAATGTTCAGCAGAATCACTATATTGATTTTCAAAGTGGATGTACAAGTTATCATTTGCACCAGTGATGGAGGAGTGTTCCCCTTGCTCCACATCCTCTCCAGCATGAGCTATTACTTGTGTCTTTGATCTTATCCATTCTGACAGGTATAAGTCATTTTGATGTGCATTTCCCTGGTGACTAAGGATACTGAACATGTTTTAAGTGTTTCTCAGCCATTTGAGGTTCCTCTGTTGAGAATTCAGTTTATATCTGTATCCCATTTTTAAATTGGATTGTTTGGTTTGTTGATGTCTAGTTTGATCAGTTCTTTATATATTTTGGATATTAGTGCCCTGTGAGAAGTGAAGTTGGTAAAAAATTTTCCCATTCTGTATGCTGATAGTTTATTCTATTGATGGTATTCTTTGCCTTACACAGCTTTTCAATTTCATGAGATCCCGTTTATTAATTGTCTGTCTTAGTGTATGAGCTATCTGTATCCTGTTTAAGAAGTTGCCTCAAAGGCCAATTTCTCTTATTTTGAAGGTCAGTTTATCTAGTTTTATGTTGAGGTCTTTGATCCACATGGTCTTGAGTTTTGTGCAGGGTGGTAGATATGGATTAATTTGAATTCTTATACATTCAGACGTCCGTTTATACCAGCATTATATGTTTAAAATGATTCCTCCCCACCAATTATATATTTCCAGATTCTTGATTTAAAAAATTCAGATGTCTGTAGCTATGTTCATTGATGTCTGGGTCTTTAATTCAATTCCATTGATCAATCTGTCTGCTTATATGACACAAACATGCAAATATTACTAAAGCTCTGTAGTACAGCTTCAAATCAGGGGTAATGATTCCTCATTTTGTTCTTTTATAGCACAGAATTGTTTTATCCTGGGTTTTTTATTTTTCCATATTAAGAGGATAATTGTCATTTCAAGATCTGTTAAGAATTGTGTTGGAATTTTAATGGTGATTGCATTGAATCTGTAGATCACTTTTTGTAGGATGGCCATTTTTACTCTGCTAATCCTACTGACCCATGAGCATGGGAGGTCTTTCCATCTTCTGACATCTTCTTCAATTGCTTTCTTCAAAGATTTGAAATTTTTATCATACAGGTCTTTCACTTGCTTGGTTAGTGTTACCACAAATTATTTTACATCATTAGTGGTTATTGTAAAGGGTATCATTTCCCAGATTTCTTTCTCAGCCTCTTTGTCATTTCTATATAGGAGGGGATACTGATTTTTTAGTTAATCTTCTATCCAACCACATTGCTGAAGGTAGTTATCAGCTATAAGAGTTCCCTGATAGAATTTTGGGGGTCGTTTATGTATGTTATATCATACTAGATCATATCATCTGGAAATGGCTATATTTTAAATTCTTCCTTTCAAATTTGTATCCCTTGATCTCCGTTAGTTGTCTTATTGTTCTAGAGAGAACTTCCAAGTACTATACTGAATAGATATGGGGAGAGTGGACATCCTTTTCTTGTTCCTGATTTTACTGGAATTGCTTTGAGTATCTCTCCATTTAATTTGATGTTTTTTATAGGCTTGCTGTGAAATGCCTTTATTATGTTTATGTATGCCCCTTGTATCCCTAAACACTCCAAGACTTTTATTATGAAGGGCTTTTGGATCTTGTCAAAGGTTTTTTCAGCATCTAATGAGATGATCATGTCTTTTACATTTCTTTCAGTTTGTTTATATGACAGATTACATTGACTGATTTTTGTGCCGAACCCTCCTTGCATCTCTGGGATAAAGCCTACTTGATCATGATAGATGATTTTCTTCATGTGTTCTTGGATTCTATTTACAAGTTTTTTATTCAGTAATTTTGCATCTATGTTTATGATTGAAATTGGTTTGTAATTCTCTTTCTTTGTTGAATCTTTGTGTGC